CCTCAGGCTCATGCTGCGCATGATCCTTTTGGTCACTGATGGCGTCAGCCTATGGCTGACTAAGTGGGTTACCCGTAAGCTTGAACTGGATGACCAGGGTCGAGCCCTCCCACGGGCTCTCACGGATGTTATTTTATGGATAGACGTTCGCTAGAGCTCACTTTTAGGGGTGAGTTCCGTGTCCTCGCTACGCTGTGGTCCTCACTCAATAGAGCCTGCACCTCATTCGTCCTATCTCATTTCATTCGATGGTCTCATGGGTTAGGTGGAATGACGACCCCCCATGCCCCCTACTCAGGGGGTCTAGCAGACCCATAGCGTACAGCTGCGGTAGGTCCTCGCTGTACTTTAGTACCTAAAGCTAGAGTCCCATTCCGAATAGTCTTCATGATTCTCATTCATCCTATTCTCATTCATGGTAGACTAGACCTAACGAAATAGAAACAGGTAGTTCAATAACCAGACTCCAAGCCTCCTCACGTACGTTTGGAGTCTTACGAAGAGGAAACTAGATACCATTCGTATGGCCTCATTGACCTTCGGTCATTCGTCCTATACTCATTATGACCTAGGATAACGTACCACGGCCCCCGCCTCGTCACCTCGGTGGGATTCAGTGGGAAAGAATCCCACTGGGCCGGGCGGAGCCCGAGCGAGGCACGAGCTCCTGGGCCCAGCTGGGGGCACCCCTGTGGGGTGGTAGTCGTGCCACATAATAGTACAGGTTAATGTACAGATGTAGTTCAAAGGTAGAATAGCGGTCTCCAAAACCGTTGGTGGTGGTTCAATTCCATCCATCTCTGTATGATTACCATCCCTGTGGAGGAACTGGTAGACTCGATGGACTCTAAATCCATTGGCTTAGCCGTGTGGGTTCAACTCCCACCTGGGATAATAGATCATGATGGATAACATTGGTGGATAGTATATTGTGTGAGGGTAAAGGTCACCCGTGGGACCCTTAAATCCACGGTGGGGGACAAGATACCAAGACCCGATGGAGTAACTCTTGTTGGCATTTGCATGGTGCCGCCTAAGCCCGATAAGGCCAGTATACTTGTTTTGGACTTGAAGGACCTAGGACTGTACCAGCTCCCACTCGCTCACACGCTCGTGCCTCATTCGGCTCCGCCTCATCAAGAAAACCAATGGAACCTGATGATACGTTATGTTTTGGATGTCATC